CCATTCGATAGGAAATTTTATAAGCTTTAATTTGGTGTATAATTATTGCCTGGACTCGTCTCGGAACTTTATCAAAAGTACAAAAAACCGGTCGCACGTCGGAGAATATGTAGTGTTATTACCGCAGATATTGCCCAGCAATTTCTCTGAAACGGGTTACTTGGAAACTCGAGTACCATTTGTGACTAATGCCATTCGATAGGATATTTTATAAGCTTTAATTTGGTGTATAATTATTGCCTGGACTCGTCTCGGAACTTTGTCAAAAGTACAAAAAACCGGTCGCACGTCGGAGAATATGTAGTGTTATTACTGCAGATATGGCCCAGCAATTTCTTTTAAACGAGTTACTTGGAAACTCGAGTACCATTTTTGACTAATGCCATTCAATAGGAAATTTTATAAGCTTTAATTTGGTGTATAATAATTGCCTGGACTCGTCTCGGAACTTTGTCAAAAGTACAAAAAACCGTTCACAGGTCGGAGAATATATGATGTTATTAACGCAAATATTGCCCAGCAATTTCTTTTAAACGGGTTACTTGGAAACTCGAGTACCATTTGTGACTAATGCCATTCGATAGGATATTTTATAAGCTTTAATTTGGTGTATAATTATTGCCTGGACTCGTCTCGGAACTTTGTCAAAAGTACAAAAAACCGTTCACAGGTCGGAGAATATATGATGTTATTAACGCAAATATTGCCCAGCAATTTCTTTTAAACGGGTTACTTGGAAACTCGAGTACCATTTTTGACTGATGCCATATAAAAATTACTATAATTTTTATAAGTTTTTTTTTTGAATATAATTTTTAAAAGAATACCCTTCGGAATTTGTTCGTAACTACTTTATAATAAAACATATATTTTAAATAAGTGGCGCCCTCTAGCGGTGTATTTGAGTTTTATATCTGATAAGGAATTGCTATATAGGAATTGCTAACTTCACAGACATGATTTATCTTTATTTTATCTTATGTCATGATAACATTTTTAATAACAAGCGTGTTATGAATATTACAAAAACGAGAAAAAAACGTTAGAAATTGAATATCTATTTATTTTATAAATGTTGGATAGTTCCTTCATGTTTTTTCATGTAAGTTAAGATCAATGTTTTAAAAAAACATTTACTAAATATATTTAAATAATGGTATCTCAAAATTTGTTGATGTTGCATTAGATTGCATTAGAACATGAGGTGTTATTACACCCAAAATATTTTGGGCCTCAATTAATGGAATCAGTAAAAACAAAGTTATACCGCGAAGTCGAAGGTACCTGCACAGGAAAGTATGATCGTTCTCTTAGAAATTATTTATATATAAAGTTTCAGTTGTAGTAAACTAAGTTATTGTGATATTCTCTATTATATTTGTAAAATTATTAAATCAAATAAATGTTTTATATATTATTTTCAAAATGAATTGTTTTAGCTTGAATAAGTCCTTAAATAAATAATCATAATAACTGATGCTCTTTAAAAAAAAATTGCATGTTTCTTTCATTTTCTTTTACTCTATTTTATTTTCAATATTGGAAAACTAAATATTATTTAAATGTACATAAAATCTTCAAATTGTATTAAATTTATCTAATCATTGACATTTAATTATTTTAATTTTCTAGGTATGGTTTTGTAATTGCTGTAACTCACATTGATAATATTGGCAGTGGACTTATATTACCTGGGCAAGGGCTTGTTGTGTATTCTGTAAAATACAAAGCTATTGTTTTTCGTCCATTCAAAGGTGAAGTTTTAGAAGCTGTTGTTACTCAATTAAACAAAGTCGGAATGTTTGCTGATATAGGTCCTTTATCCTGTTTTATTTCTCATCATGTTAGTAGCAATCAAATTACTAAACAAACTTATTACATAAACAAATTCCTTATAATTATTTACAGTTTAGAAATCTTAAAAAGCATATCAACTTTACTTTCTATATTTTCCAGAGTATTCCAAATGAATTACAGTTTTGTCCTAATACTTCGCCACCATGTTACAAATCTAAAGAAGAAGTATGTGTAATTTTTACTTGTAATTAAAATATTATATTTAATTAAAAATTTTTTATTATTAGAACATAGCTATTCAACCTGAAGATACGATAAGACTAAAAATTGTTGGAACACGTGTTGATGCAACAGGAATTGTAAGATTATTAAAAAAATTAAATGATTATTAAAAAATGCATTTAACTATTTTTAAAATCTTATTGTATAATAAATCATTAAAAAATTAGTAAATACTAAAAAAATTATTTGACGACATAAGATTTTCAAATTTTTTTTTAATGAAAGAACTTGACAACATAATTTTAGAAAAGTTATTTCCGAAGATATGAAATTTTTTTTTAGCACACTATGATCATTTAAAAATTTCTATCAAAAACGTTCATTGCTACCATCGTTTTTCGATTTAAATACTCAAATTTTTACCAGTTTTATTCAGAGACATTCCAAAAATATGCTGAAAATTTCTTGAAATCTGTTAATTATTCACCGAGTCATAAGGTTTTTTTTATAAGTCCATAGGCATATTTCTTAATAAGATATGATTTTGCTTTGCGCATCTCAATATTGTTTAAATTTTATGTTAGTGTGGCTAGTTTTCACTAATAATGCAGCATTTAAAGATTGTTTTTAATGATTATTAAGTTTTCTTTTGTCTATCTGTTAGGAATAATAATTAGTAAATTATTATGAAGTATGATTGTGAATACCCATAGATATTTTGTTGTCATATTATTTATTTAATAATTATTTAATTTACAAGTGGGAATAATTTTCTGATTAACGGTTTTTGGAGTTATACTTTGTTTACATAACACAAATCATACCTGGCGTAGCCGAGTACTCCTACCAAAATCAGTGGCCTATCTTTAAGAATAACCCAAAGCACATTAGACTTGCAGGGCACTAGGTCTGGAGCAGAGCCCTAGCTAGGTGAAGCCTAGTAAAAAAATATTAGATTAAACAAGAATGTTAATAATACTAATTACTTTTCTAACATATATCAGGATAATAATGAAAGATTTCTGAGCTATGTGTACAAAAATAAATTTGTAATAATTTTTTTACGATTATTCAAAATATTTTTTACTTTAAAAACTATTAGAACAATAATTTTGTGGATAGGGGATAAGAATACTTCCACGGCCCCTCTGTCAGTTATAATAGGCGACTAATGAGGTTGCGTCTGGTTGATAGCCAGCATATATTTTTGTCAAAAAGTATGAGTATTAGAATAATAATTGAATTTTCTTTTTTTTTAAATAGTAATCAAAGTATTATGTTGATACACTTTTTTTACCTAATAACCTAAAATATGTCTTATTTTCCTATACATTTAAGTCTAATTGATACTAAACAACATCAATAATTATAAATATATAACTGATAAAGATTTTAATAAAACAATGAAATATTACTAGTAAGATTTCACACTTTATTTTTAATTATTTTACTGAATATTGGTAACTAAGTAGCTAAATAAAATTTCTTATAAATCTTATTTGAGTCATCCAATTTTAATAAGATATATTATTTCCAAAACGTTTTTTATTTTTTAGTTAGTTAAAAGCTAATTTGTCAAGAAAGAGAAAAATAAAAAATAAAGTGTTTTAACATACACTCTTTAAATAACTTAAATAGTAGTTACAGTTTAGTATTTTCTTTTTTAAATACATTAATTTTTTTTTTTTTAGTTTGCCATTGGAACATTAATGGATGATTACTTAGGTTAGTATATATACAATTAAAATATGAAGAATATTTGGGGAAATGGTAATAGTCCATTTCTATTATTTTTTTATAAGAACAAAAATAGAGGTATAAATTCCAATCTTAAATATTGAAAATTATAATATTTTTCATAAAATGAATTTCATTACTTGATACCTGTGACATTAGGCGAGTAGTGATAGGAGAGGTGAAAAGTTTTAGGTATTTAAGATCAGTTGTGCAAAACAGCAATAGTATTGATGAGGATGTAAGACACAGGAACAAGTGTAGGTGGTTGAAGTGAAGAGAAGTGTCTGGTGTGTTATGTGATAAAAGAATCATAAGTTCTATAAGACTGTAATGAGACCAGCTATGATGTGTGGTTCAGTGTTGGGTGGTTGACAAGAAAGTAGAGCAAATAATGAGTGTAGCAGAGATGAGAATACTTAAACAGATGAGTGGAATGACTAGAGAAGATAAGATAAGGAACAAGCATATAACAGGGAGTATAGTTGTAGCATCAATCGTTGATAAGATGAGAGAAAATAGACTTAGATGGTTTGGTCATGTTATGAGGAGAGAAGAATCGGAAGCTGTAAGAACAGTTATAGAAATGAATGTTGAAGGAAGAAGAGGTAGAGGAAGACCAAAAAAGAGATGGAGGGATGTAATTGAATGCGATATGAGGACGGCTGATGTGATCGTAGATGATGTTAGGTATTGTGTCAAGTGAAAGTTTAGGATAAGTATCCTTAACCCCGAAGTAGTTGGGATTAAGGCAAGGAAAAAGAAGAAGATACTAATTTTTATAGACTATCAAATCAGACCATAATATCAAAATCGAAAAAAATGAATTATTACTGATTATCCCCTGTACCTTTATAAATATGAAAACTGCAAAATTATTTTAAATATTTATTGTACTTCATCTTACTGTAATAAAAATTGCCTCTTGGGAAAATAATTGATTTTCCCATCCTTTTTTCCTCATAAATTTTGAAATCATAATGTGATAAATGAATAAAAAAGTTATTTGCATCAACCCTATTCCATCAGTGAAAATTTTCATTTCTTTTCTGGGTCACCCCTTATTCACAGGGCTCAATATATTATCTATATTTTTATTAATTAAAAAAAATTTTTAATTTTCAAATTAAAATTATAAAAATTTAATGCAATTGTATGTACAAAGAAAAATCTAAATAATCAATTTTAATTTGAGAAAACTATTTTTTAGTTAATTAAATAATGATATATGTAAAATAACTTTGCTTTTGTATAATTTTACTAACATTATGTGTAGATTCTAACAGTTTAATAGTTAGCTCATTTAGTTTAGTCATTATAGTTTCAAATAGTTATTTTTTTCAGGTTTAATTAATTAAAAGGATATTCAGAATATGATTCTAAAAAAAAAATGTTGTGTGAATACATTTTATGTGATATATATATATTTATTAATGTAATGTAATGTATAAAGTTATTGTAAATATTATTTTGTACTATTCTAAAAATAAAGATTGGTACTGAAATTTTACATGCATAGTAAGAACTGACAAAGCCATCTGTAAAGTTATTTTCATATTAGTTTTTCTTATTTATATGATAAAAATCGAAAGCTTTTAAAAAAATTTTCTAGTAATTTTTGTTGAAAAAAATGTTAGTCGTGTACTAAAATTATTTTGCGACTGTCAGTAAGCAATAAATTGTCAAGTTAAATGAGTACAACTGTCTAATTAATTGTATTAAAGAAACCTAGTAAATATTTACTTAAAAACAAATGAATCATTTACTTTAAAAACTACAATAAAAAAATGAAACTCTTAGAAAACAGTAAAAAAAAAAAAGATTTAAACTATTAATAATGGACACAATTTAACCTAAAGGTGACGCATTTGGATATTCTAAGCATATATAATTTATATAATATGTGATTTATTTGTAGTATATAAAAACAACACTAGTTACTTTAGGCTCACATTTTTTATTAGGCTTCGTGTTTATCTTTGTTATACACATGATCAATCAGAATTTTTTAAACATTTTCATTTTTGGATTTCATTAAAATTTTCAAAAATTATACGTCCGTTCATAAAAAACACTGCACTTGATAACTCATTTTTCAAAAATTTGTAACTTACGTCATTATACAGATAAAAGGTTAAAATAGATTATCATGTTGATATTATTTTCACATATTCAATACATTAAAACTTGGAAAATAATGTTATATTAATGAAAATAATGTTAAATAATATTTTATTTTTAAGTTTAAAAAATCAAAAGTATTTTTTCAATAATAAGCAATTTAACTGCAAAGTGTTGATAATAATTTTTTTATCTATATAATCAATTACATTAAAGAATTCATTATTTTTTTTTTAACATTTTACGATTAACAACCTTGCGCCTGTTCAAAAGATAGAAACAAATACTCCTTCATTCAAAAGTGTATGATAAATTTAACATTTGATTATTAATATTTAATTACAAATCTACTTTTAATTTAGCCTCTTATGAATTATGTACAAGCGTTTTCTACTAGATGCTATCGTTCCACTTATTGTTTTACTTAGTAAGCGAAACAAACATCCCTCCATCAAATATTTAAGTTTTATTCACATTCACAAGTACTTCATAGAATTTTTCTAATGATTTATCATCAAAAATTTATATGACATAAAAAAATTTTACTTATTCAAAAATATATTATAGTACGTTTGATATAATGACAAAATATAACTATTGGACTTCTATACATTTTTTAGACTTGGGCGAAATTCTACTATATTGTCAAAAAGTAAATGTTCATATTATCTAGGCGGTAATACCACGTATAAGTCATTGTAGTAAGCTGAAGGTTAAAAAAGTAATTCATCTTATAACTCCGAACTTGCCTAAGCGAGTAATATTTAACAGTATTTTCGTATTACTAATGGTGTTATTGCGACTAAAAGCGCCACCTTGTCGCGTTGATCTGAAGGTAACACCACTGGGGCGCAAGTCACCCGTTCAACACCTACCAAATTCCACCTACCGAGTCGTTCTTGGTAGCCTTTCGGTGTCCGCGAATGCATGTTGTTCGTTACAATGAACAATCACCAGAACAGTGCGTATAATAGACGATCAAAATGAACAGCATTGGCTACAAATCGTCGGCCGGCGGCAACGCTTTCGTAGTTCTCACAATGGAACCGATTCCACGTGGTCTTCCTCCAACAGTACCGCTGTCGCCACCGCCACCACCACCACCACCACCTGTAAATTTTGATGTGTATAAGACTCGACCGCGGAAACCAACTCGTAAAGAACGCACAGCTTTCGTCATCTTGCCGGAACCACCACCAACACCGTCGTCCGGTGCACAAGCGACAGAAAATGATGTCACACCATGTAGTGGACGAGTTAGCCCGTTCCGAGCGTACGGTTTCAAAACTCCAGAGGGAGGCCGCTCACGTGCTAGTAGTCCTCGGCCACTGAGACGCCAAGCGTCCGACACTCAAATCTCGCAGAAAAATAAAAAAACCATCCCTGATGCTCCGTCTTTAACAGACACTTCTAAACGGTTATCAGTGTCTACTAAAGACCTTACCACTTCGTCGCGAGCCGCCACTATTCCTACTGCAACGTCGACGCCTAAACTTGTGAAAAAACCTGTGCCGCTGTCTCGTAAACCCCCGGCGTCTCCGTCCCGCTCTAAGGCACCTCAGTTTTCACCAAAATCGCCGTTACCACCTCGATCTGATTCGCCATCGCATAAATCTAGAGTGCGACCGAATAAACCTCCAGTGCCACTCAAGTCTACATCGGTGTCGAAATCTCCAGCAAAACGCAATGAACATTTGGCTACCGGAATGCCCATTAAATCACCGACTAAACCAAAATCACAAGTGCAAGCTGTTACAACCAACGTTGCTCAAAAGCGCTCGTCTCCTGTGAAATCGCCGCGCCCCATTAAAAAATTGGCACCGGCATCAGTGCGCCCCGAAGTTACTAAGCCGACTGTGAAATCCGATCAACCGATTCCGTCCGTCAAGTCTGATCTTCCGATTGCAATACCGTCAACCACCGTCAGTACAACGCCAATAGACACAAACGCAAATGCGGTCTTGTCCGAAACAATCACTCGAACGGCAGTTATACCGGTCACGGCTACTCCAATGTCGGCAGCTGCAATCACTCGATCCATCGCTGTAACTAATTCTGAACAGGCAGTTACAACGACCGCCACAGCGACCGACGCTCCTCTATCGCCGTTGACCACCGCCGGAACTTTACCGGCACACACCTCAACCACCATTACCATCTCCGACCAACGATCTTCTGTCATGCGACCGGCTGGGAGTTTTTCATTGACGACGACTGCGACTTGGACATCTACTACTTCTACCATTACGACCACAGCGACCACTATCACAGCTCCATCAAAACCTAAGCCAACTGACAAGCCGCCAGCCTCAGAAACAACAATCACTCCTTCACTTTCCTATGTTATGCGCGGAATTAAAATGAACCCGGAAGCTTTAAATCAGAGTGGTGCCGGCCAAAATGCTACAACGGCAACACTGATGGGCGTAACGGCGGCCTTACGCAAGACGTCAACTACCAACGGCCATAAATCTGTTGCTTGGGCAAGGTAATTCGAAATCATTAAAAAATATAAAAACAACATTAATAATATTGTTTAAATAAATAGGGTAAGTTAACGGATGGGGAAAGATTACGGATTCGGTATTTCTTAAAACCAATCACACGTACAGGAGCAGACTGGCAAAAGAGGGCACGGAATGCTACTCAATTTTAGGGGCGAACAATAAAAAATATGTTAGCTTACAATTATAAATCTATACCTATATTAGAGAATTTTAATTAATATTTAGGGGGACAAATATATATTGGGACAAGAGATCCTGCAGCATCCCACCATCTTAGTCAGTCTGCGCCTGTAAAAATACTTAGCAACACATTCTAGTTAGCGCAAAAGCCCTTTTACTCATTAGTATCAACACATCTGCGCGCACGTTCATTATAAGTGTGATAATAATTATTATATTTAGTGTATTTCATGTAATTTTTCAACATAAAAACTAGGTATTAGCGCTCAAAGGTAATTTTTTAACTATCTCTCTTGAATATTCCGAGAGTACTACTTAATACAAATAAATTTATTGAAAAACCATTTCTTTTACAATAGTTTTTCGAAATCTTATCCCACTTTACTATAATAAATAATATATTCAAAGTTATATTTTTTCAATCAAACGGTCATAAAGATTAATTGGGAAACCGTAATTGGGAAAGGTTAAGGGCAATGATAATTACATAGTGAGGACACAATTTGTTTTTCGTTTAACGAGGGCTGTGAACATTTTTCTTATGTATACACTCCCCAAGAACAATACTCTAATTACGCTACTATTAAGTTCACGTGACTTATAAATAATAATATTACACAACAAAAAAATAATTTTTTTTTGAGTTAGTAATTTAATATTTATTTTCGATTTCCATCAGTCCATAAAAATTTAATAATTGCATAGGCAATTCATTCCGTATAATGATATATGTTTTTATAAGTCACATAATCACTTGGACCACTTCAGTATTAATATGAGAGATATTAAACGGTTAAATATTTTGTGATAAAATGTTTAATTTGTTGGAAAATTAAATACTATAAAAGAAATTAAGCACTTTTTCATTTTTTATACAATACATTTATTTATTTTAAAACAATTATATAAATAGTTATTATTTAAAATGGTCAACCCCAAGTAGTTGGGATTAAGGCGAGGAAAAAGAAGAAGTTATTATTTAAAAATATAAAACAACAAATTCATCTATTAGTGGTTAGCGATGTGTTTTTGACCTCAATATTGTTTTAACAATAAAATAAAACACGCAGAACGTCTAAAAAATTGGAAAGAAGAATTTTTAAATGAAGTTTTTTTAACCTTTATTGATATTATATATTTTAGACATTTTTTATAAATTATACTTTTATGACTTTGAAAAAAAAAAAAGATTGCCGGGTGTTAAAATTCTGATGATCCCGTACACAGAAAAAAATGATTTTTTGTATGGTAAACGGTTAAAAATTGTATAGTTAGGAGAACCATAAAATAGTAAAGCTTACCATCTTAGTTGGTAATTCTACCAAGTGCGTTTAGTTAGAATAACTGAATCAATTTGGTTGGGAATTACGATAGTATTTACCGACGTGTTCAGTTAAAGCAACTGCACAATATAGTTCATATAGGCCATAATATAGTGGTTAATAATGAATCTATAATTCAACTGAATTATAGATTTAAAAAAACATTATAATTCTGAAACCATTGGTTTTATAATTATAAACTTTTCCAACCGTAAAAATGGCGTTAAGCGATAGTTATTATGATTTATCAAATTTAAGCTGTGATAAAGTTGCGCTTTTCGGTTGTGACGGAGATGTTTTAAGATGTCAAGTGGTTGTACCTCGCGAAAAAGCTTTCGAGGTTGGGTTGGATTGTTCGGTTCTTTTGTTGTCTGGACCGCTGAGAATTCATCGATGGTTATTTTGCGCTAAAAGTTTACAGACAAAGACACAGTCGTACCGAATATTGACGATTTTACATTTATTATTATAATAGCTCTGAGAAAAGATGTTTTATATTTTCGTTTTGAAATCAATGAATAATCATTTTCATTCGAGTTTTTAACTAAATACTAATTATAATATAATGGACTACTGAACTAGAGATAAATTAAATAAAATTAAAACTATATTAAAAATATTATTAATTTAAAAACTAAAAAATATTAAGCTCAAAAGCCATAAAAAATTACTGAAAAGTCGCGGATACGCGGAAACAACGTAACCATTTGATCAATTTTTATTATATTAAGAGATAAATTGATATTATTGCATCTACCATTGTTGATAAAATTTTTTGAAGGTTGGAGAAATCTATATTATTTAAATTTGAGTCTATCCCGTAAATTTTAATTTAGATAAATAAACAATAGTTCTTTGATTTAAGTATGATTTAAAAAAGAACTATTTTATAAAATCAAATGTTTCATTTTTCGTATATATATTAACGTGATATTAGTAATAATAATTTATATTTCAGCGAACTGAAGTAGATTGATATCATTTTTTTAAAATTAATACTTAAAATGATTTTTAAACAATTAAAGCTAGTTTTTCTTAATCATAGTCCCATAATTATGAGTAATTACTGTACATTTTTTTTAAATAGAATACTATAAAATATTTAAGACGGATCTGTGTTGGCAATATGTTTATAATAATTTTTGTGAAATATTTATGTATTTTTATTAAATTTTATGTTATAATTTCACTATTTATAATGATTTTTTTACTACAATTAATCAAATAGTTGATATTTTCAAAATCTAATTTTATCACATCATTCTACAACAAAAAATACACGTAATTTTTTTTATTTTTACTAAAATAACAATGTATAGATATATTAAAATTAAAAAAGTAACCATTATTAGATCTTATTTTACTTATTAAGTTTTTATTCTTATTTATAGTGTTTACGTCAATTAAATGAGACGCAATAAACAATATTATAGTACTTTTAAAATCCTCATAATATTTTCTATCGATTGAATAAATAATAAAAAAAATTCAGCTTTACCTTTGTTTAAAATTATATAAAATACTCAACTTTAAAGGCTGAGTTTCGGGATGGGATAACCATATAAACGGTTATTTATATAAACCATACTTTTTTCAGTGTATAATTTATATGGCTTTTTGTTATCAATTCCACATTAATTATAATAGAAAAACGTAACAAAATAGTTTTTCATTACCTATCATGAATTTTCGCTATATTTTAGATACAAATATTTGCATTTTATTTAGCAGCTACATACAAGGTAAGAAGACGGTGGGAATCCTCATATACCTCTCCGCTTATACAACCCTGAACCTAATAAAGAAGCGCGTGCGTGTACAACGTCGGAAGATAATTTATTATAAAATGTTATTATATTTAAATAATGTGTAGTGCTTGACCGGTACATATTTCGGGCGTTTTTAGGGTTTTTTGAAGAGAAAAAGAGAGGTCGCTCCATACGTATGTTGTTCTGTATTACACTTTGAGTCACGCCATTCTCATGAATGAACTCAATCGTGCGACTTATGTATACAGTAACTTTTTGTAAGTGTACACGGGTATTTTAATTGGGTCACCGCGGTATAATGTATTCTTCGACAACGACGGCGGTGGTAGTGTTTTCTTGTGTTTATGAACTCGGACCATGCCATCATACTTAAACATTATATATACTGCCATTGCTCGCGTGAGTGTCAGTCCTCGCCCTCTGTACACACGAGCTGTTTCCACACACCTTTAAACATTTCTCGCGACCAAAGCCCAACTGACCGGTACCCGAAAATAAAAGTCGTTCAATAAATTACCATAAAAGCCGACCTCGGATACAAAAAAAACCGTCAACCGTGACTACACATAACATAAATGCTTGGCGATGTTTACTATTACATTAAAGAACTTTAACATTAGAGAATAAATGGGCCACGCGAGAAACACAAATATAATTACAATAGTTTGGTTTGTTTCGAAAGTTAACCTACACATGTGTTCTGAGTGACGTTTCTTGTTTATACACGAACTATATTTTGCACAATTGCTAAAAAAATATTAAACCCAATATGAAAAAACTAACAGTATAAAAAATGGCAATACAAAAGGTTTTTATTTGCAAAACGCAATTCGCTACCGCAAGAACTTCTTCTGTGGAGCCTGAAATAATTGTATTAATTTGAAATAAATATTCCCAGATGTATCTATATCTGTTTCTTTATATCGGTTATAGTTTCTAAAAATATCTGTTGTCTATTACCTTTATACTTGTTCACAATTGATAATGTATTTTTACAACAGGAGTCATTTGTGTGTTTTCGCTCATTAATTAAAAAACAAAACTCATTTGGTTTTATAAAAATTTTGGAATCTTCTATTTTATACCATTCTCTCTTGCTTGCTATAAGACCTACGCTGTCAAACTGGGTTTTAACAGTTAATACAGTAAATAACTGTAAATATATCAATGAAAACCATTATTAAATTTATTTATTAAAGATTTGTATAAAAAAAATACTAATTTCCATATTCGTTCGAAGGGTGAAGCGGTAACGGAGTAATGCTACCCTTGACTTTTTATTTGGTTAATTTTCATAATTGTTGTGTATTGTACAGTTCCGCAAATTGAAGTTTTTTTAATTAAAAGATAAAAACTTTTATTTTTATTAAATTATATTATAAATACTAGAATTAAGATTATTAGTTTTTTTTATAGATTAATGACATAAAGGTTTGGTTTTTGTTTTTAAATTTAAACTTTTAAATAATATATAAAATTACCAAAAAATCTTTTATTTATAATATTTTTTTTGCGAAACTCATAAACACCTATTGGAATAATATTTTTGAGGATTCTAATTACATTTTCTCTCTACCCTAAAAATAATTAAACATTTAAATGACAACGTATATCATTTTTATTTTTTTGTGGAACTATGTCGTTATCTGAAGTAGCTAAGTTCTTTTTTGTTGCCGCTATTGCGAAGTCTCCAAAAAAGCGTGGTTAACTGGCCAAATGCCCGTTCACTCCCTTTAACACTGGGTTTGTTGAACGGACAGTGAAACCAAATATTTAAACAAATTCCCTCCTATGAAAAATTTCTGCGGTCGCCTTTGCTAATTCCTATTACATTTTGCTATATTTCATTTACGTATATTAAAACACAAACAGCTTTAACTACATACATGTAGACAAAATGTCAATGTTATAGTACTCCATCTTTTCTATGTATCGTCCACAAATATTTATTATAAATTTATAACAATTAAAATTACATTTAAAAATATTTAAACGATTAGGTCGAAATCATTATCACTAAATAAATAATAAAAAATCAATTTCTTTTAAAGGCTTAAATTTTTTTTAGGTAAAACTGATATGATTATTATTATTCTAAAGAAACTTAACTGCGCGATGGCAGAATCGGTTGAGGTACCATCGTTACTTGAAATATTTTAGACCCTATCGATACTTGCCCGACGGGCGACAGAAGATTTTGTGAATTACTTGTACTGGCGCTGCACGCAATAGGATAGAGTCACATAGAACCAGCTAGCACGCAAATAAGTATATTATGTATTTCGTCCCTTTAATTTTTATCCATTACTTAATAACTCAAAAAAAGTCGGGCGTTATCACGACTAGCCATCGACTTCGGGCGCAGTAACAAGGGCGAACTCGGTATGATTAACGAACAAACCCGGTAATTATATAGTATAAAAATATTTAAGAATATATTTTAGTTTTGACAGAGCATATTCCCCTAGAAATTAATAAAAAACTACATTGCGAAAACATATACCTGAAACAAGGTTGTTATAAAAATACAGTATGGAAGCCGTACGCCATGTCAAAGGAGTATTATTGTTATTGTTTGCACGGTATTTTTTAGTAGTTTCAAAAGCCTCTAAAGAACAGAGTGTTGTTTTCTTCGTAAGTTTTTTGCTTCGTCTAATGAATTATTCGTGATGTTAATTTTTACGTGATATGCTCATCACTAACTTATCTCATAACTAATAAAAACTTTTAGATTATCATCGTAAGGTGTTTTGTTTAACTTTATTAATCACATTTTTTGAGTAATATAATTAAAGTTACTCCGATACCTATGTATCATCAACTATTACAAGTGATCTATAGTAACTACCCTTAAGTTAGGATATTACAAGTAGATTAATCAAACCGTTTTCATGTAAAAAATAAAAATTTCTAAGTAATCGTTTGAGTCTTAATGGATATTTTATTTTACAGGCAATCGGATAAAATAATCGAGCCAGAACCGAAAGTAAAACCATCGTGCTGCGGTCGGTTTGTGCGTAAATTTTGCTGCGTTTTCAAGTGTTGTCCGACCTGTGAGTGTGGCAGAAAATGTTGTGGGTCAGTTGAAAGATGTGCGTCCGTATGGAAAAGACGACCTCGGTTTTGCTGGGGATCGAGTAAGTCGGCTATCAACGATAGGAGATGCTCTAGTTGTTGGCCTTGTCGCTATTTCCAACGCCTTTTCTGTTGCTACAAGAAACCGCCTTCCAAAGACTGCGAACAAGGAGTCAATGATGACACTTCCGAGGATTTAGCAACTCCTTCTACGTTTGTTGAAAAATTGAAGTTATGTTTATCTACACTTTGTTGTTGCTGCTGTTGTTGCTATTCTTCTTCCTCTATTAGCAACAAACCATCTACACAGTCCTGGTTCCGACGGTGCTGTTGCTACTATCGACACCAAGGCGATACTCCCATTAGATCGGGTTATCGAAGAAGGAAAAGTTTATTCAGCTGTTCAGTAAGTCAAGAAATTTCGATACACAGATTTTCAATGTTGTGCAAAGGTTCATACGAGTTGTTGAGTTTTAAAAGGAAGTAAACGGACGAGAAATATTAGATCTTTAATGTTAGAATTAAAAAGTACATAGTGAATTATTTATCATAATCCATTCAATCATTTTCCAAGTAAAACTAATGTTAAAGAAATTCTTTAGGCTATATTCAGTTTCATCTATTTCTAGATTATCGAGTATTATTTATCAAGAACCTTCCATTACATCTGTAACTTATCAACTTGATTTTTATTAAAGGTACCACACATATTTAATTAAAAAAATAACTGGTCAGTCACATTTCTTAGATCATCATTTTAGAATTCAAGCTGAAGAAAGAGTTCGTCTCAGAAATTCTTGATGATAAAAATATTCATAACCTGCACTTTATCGCAGTTAAATTTAAGATACAAACTATGTATTTATTAATACTTTATCTTAAAATGTTAACAATTTCCAAGATACTAGTTTACAAATGGTAGTTTGGGAAAATGCCAGTCGCAAAATAATACCGATTACCCAATTTTTTTTTAACTAAGCCACTTAGTAAGACACTCATTGCATAGTAAGATTATTATTTATTTAATTATAATGACTAGTGACAGTATAATAAAATTTTCCCGTCAAAAAAACGTTTTCATTTTTTCTTAAACGATCACTCTAATATTTCGCGATTTTTCTCATACTTCTTTATGACAATTTTTATGACATTACTTTCCTAAATATGTATAATTAGTTCTTAATTTTGCAAATCGATTATTATGTCAAAAATAATTAAATTAAAGTCAAATGATTCTACTTAATGGAATAATTTAATTATTTTCAACTGGCAAAGAAGTAATCTAGTCAATATTAAGGAGTTATGGACATAATACATTATGATTTTAAATTTATCTTATAAAATAAATTGTAATAAATTGATCTTATAATATTAAAATAATATAATCAACATATTGATGTTTTATTTTCAAGTGATTCCAAAATATTTAAACAAAATAATGATGAATTATATATAGGTTACTCCAGTTCTCTAAATTAAACAAATGTTAATACAATTATTAATCAATTTATTTAATTGATGAGGTACTAAAAGAGATACATCAGTTTTTAGAAACAATAGAAACTATTTTCTTTACTTAATGAACATGCTATGTACAATTAAAAATAACTCAAAAATAAATTTCCAATTATTTTTCAATTGAACGTAATTAAGAAATTATGATACACAGATCATCTTGTATAGTCTTCACAAAAAGCTAAGGATAAACCATTGATCCACATACATATTCATTTTTGTATACAACCCTAATTCTTAAGGTCTAAACTCATAAAAATTCTTTAGTATTTACACATAAATAGTTATAAACTTTGAAGTATGTCATTAAATTTTTCATTAAAAATTTATTTAATAATAAAATTATGTAATACAAAAGATATAAATATTATACTTATATAACTAGCTTATAAAATAGAATATTAATGTAATTAAATAAATAACTGATCAATAACAACTTGTGGATGAGTAATCAGTAGTTATTAAAAATTTTAAGTATTGACTGATGATGAGGCGCTGGTGTTGCTATTTTTATCACTAGACATTATTAGATCTCACTCCTTCTTCAACTTAGATATAAAAATATTACTAACTTCTAAAATATTGATCCAAAGTTGTTATCGACTATACATTTTCATAATTACATTATATACTTTATAAGCTTGTTAAATATATATGCTGTACTTAAAAAAAATATAGTTGACAATACTATAAACATACGCACATAAACGATATTTTTTAACTAGAATTACAAATGTAACCAAAAAAACCCTAAAAAAATTACAAAATATATTACTTTATGAGAAAGTGAGTGGTCAGTGTTAAAGAATCGTCCTGTAATTATGATAAACTAACTCTTGGGCTAAACGCTTAAAACACCACAAATAAACCAAAATACTTATTTTTCTTTGTGATATATATTTTTTGAAATGTAAATTTATTTAAATATTTGTAATTTTTAATTAGAATATACCAAAATTGGACCCGGCTTTTGTAGATCATTCGTCAGTAATGAGAGGTGCCATACCAGTGCTTCCTTTAGTGATGGCTTGGATATGTTTGGTATTAAACGTTATTTTACCAGGAGCTGGTTTGTAATATTTAAAATGGATTTATACTCTATAGTTCATTCATTAAACTCATTGATGAATAAAAAGTTTATTAAAATACCAACAATTTATTCACTTTAAATTATATAAATACTTATCAAATTGGAAAATCAGTTAAAAAGACTATAACACTAATCTTATACTTTAGTTCTCCTAAACGTTTAAATTTGAGTTTAATTATGAGTTAATCATAATTATTATTATCAGTATTTTATTACTATTCAAAAATTCATATAACTATATTCATATAGCTTTTCTTTTTTTATTATTCAATTCCTTATCATAAGATTTTCAGGGTATTTTTATCAATAGGAGAGGAATATATATTTATTGATGTGTAATTAATGATTTAAACAATTTTTATTTAATTTACTTTAGGAACTTTTTTCAGTGGAGTATTTTGTCTGTGTACGGGGAAACCGCGATTTTCCATTAATGACACACTTCAATCAAGGATGGGCGCGTTTCTTGTTAACGCTATCGTAGCATTCTCTCAGTTATTTACAATTTTGTTCTGCTTGGTCGGCTGGGGATGGAGTATTTGGTGGGGCGTGATAATGATTAAAATGGCCAGTAAGTTCTAACAAGCAATAAAGAAATAGTGCACGTGATATATTAAAAAATTGATTTTTCCAGAAAAATACCAAAAAGTAAAAATCACAGAACAGTCTGATCCAGTTACACCAACTTCGGTAGATCACAATCACATGGATATGATCTAAATAAATAAATCGTAGTAAGAAAAAAAAAACTAAAGGCATTTATTTTTCAATTTATCTTTTATACTACATGTTTTATTAAATTTGTTACTTAAAAAATGTGTAATTTATTCTTATAATTATTAAATGTTTATCTATAATAATAATACCAATAGATAATAAATAATTATTATCTATAATATGACACGGCCACGGCGTTGTCACACGTTGACACCCCGCGGTCGTGTCAGCTCCTTCTCAGCCACCGCTTAACTGTAAACCGGACCGTCACACACACGCGTTATCGTCGTGGTGTAAAGTCCATCAAATGCCTAGCGTCGGATACCCCGCCGCAATAATACGTCGAGTCAGTCATCTTCGTGACACCTAACACTTTGGTTGCATCGTCCGCGAACTCAACTCAATCGCCACCGCAAATTCGGTCATCTGTGTTTATTGTGTCGACGGATTTTTAGTATTGTTATCATTGTTACTTTTGGTTCGCACTCGATTTTTTTTGTTTTTCGGTGTTACAATTCTTGTTTTTTTTTTCTTAATAAACGGCTCGACGCCCCTTAGAAAAACTAGTTAGCTTCATTTATTTTTGGTTTATCACCACCTCCTATCAAATAATAATACCAATATCTATTGACATATTTACTTAATGCTGATACTATAATAATTTACAAAAAGAAGTCCAAATTTTGACTAACATATAATTCAACATATTTTACTAAGTGTATTTTATTTTAATTTATAAAAGTATTCCTAAATACTTCAATTTTTACTGATATTAATAAGAAGATTACTACTATTACATGATGTTAATATTTCGCTGTAGATATTTAAAAAAATGGTTTAGTTTAGCAAGTAGTTTTTGTTTATCAACGTAAATTAACTAATCTAGACAGTGGCGAAGAGATGTGTCGTTCGCGAACGAACGAATCGCATTGAACGGGTCAAAATAGTGAACGAAATGATTCAGATCGCCGAACCGTAGTGATCCGGATCCCCCAAAAACTAATTTTTTCCCGTATAAATCACACTGAACCGATTTGATCGCTTACCAAATATCAATGATAACATGATAACATATTCATATGTCATTTGTTTATACGACACATCCCTAATCCGAATCGCAAATCATACATGCGACTCGTGAATCGAAAACTGCAAAAGAATCAAAACTGTACTGAATGTTCCATTCAATTGACTCAAAATATCTTTTAAATCTCGAACGGGTCTTCTAGTTGACCTAATTCGAATGAATCGGATCACTTAGGTGAACCATAATTCCCATCTCTACAGTGGCGTACATAGAGATAAGGTTCTAGGTTTCTACTGTCTCCTCTAATTAGTTCAGCTATATATTGGGGGAGGGGCAAAAACCCTACAGGTCTATTATAAACTGTTGATATTATTAAACAACACACTGGGTACAGTAATATTATTTAAGATAACAGTTTAATGTATTTTTACTTATGTTAGTATAGTACAAGGTCAAAGGGACACATTCCTTTTACGATTATGTTGTTTTACTCAATGCAGCCTATTGTATACATGTTTACAGTTTAGTCGTAGTTTCACCGTCTATCGAGTAAAGTGACCCGTTGCCGTTGTACATCTCTTATATTATATGTTTTGACATTTTATATTAAATACTATTATATTACGAATAATTTCTAAATCTTTTAATTACATAACCTATTCCATTCAACAGGTTATGGGCCCAGTACCCAGTACTTAATATTTAGATTTTTTTATTTGTAATATAATTAATCGTGAAATTTAAAAGTGCGTTCGCGTAGTAAGTGCGTCGATCGTGTTAAATATTATTGTAATTTTTTATTGTGTGCAGACAGTGTACAGGAAATTCGTTATCATGGAAAACGAATCTATAAAAATTAACAAACTAAACGGCAGTGAAAATTGGGCAAAATGGAAATTTCAAATGACGGTAATATTAAAATCATATGATGTGTTGTTCTCTGTAATAGATGGAAGTTATGAATATCCAATTCAAATTATAAAACATGATACAGAAACAGACACAGAGGCACAATTGCGTTTAGAACAA